AACAGCTTCACCATGGGTGTGGTCATGTTAATAAGGAGGGGAACAGCTTCACCATGGGTGTGGTCGTGTTAATAAGGAGTGGAACAGCTTCACCATGGGTGTGGTCATGTTAATAAGGAGGGGAACAGCTTCACCATGGGTGTGGTCGTGTTAATAAGGAGGGGAACAGCTTCACCATGGGTGTGGTCATGTTAATAAGTGCGGGGACAGCATGGCCATATGACAGGGACACATACAGACTCACCCGGCCTTGCCGCCCGCCTCCATGTGATTGGCCAGCGTGACATCATTGGACCAAACATCAAACTGCCACTTGCGCAGGCCCAGCACCCCGCAGTGCACACGGCCACTGTGGATGCCCACGCGCATGTTGACGTTGACACCAGTCACTTCCCGCACCAACCTGGCGGGGAGGGGGGGGATACAATGAGATCTGGAAGCAGCATAACACCTACGCCTCTAGAGGGCGCCAAGCTCAGCAGCCTGTCTGGGGCTTCAGCAGTCAGCTGCCCAGATGGATATTGGTACTGACACAGTTCCAGTGTGCTGCCCTTACATGCGATGCAGCCGGTTATCTCATCAGTCAGGCAGCGAAAGCGGAGATAGTGTGTTATTGTGTTAGTGACAACGTTCCAGAAAAGTGCCGCCACTGTTCTATTGTGTTCCCTTCATCTGTGCTGCATCCCTGCTATTGTATATTTATAGTCTTGAGCAGAATCAAAATAGTGGGCACTGTATGCGTGTCACTGTGGATACGGGCACCTGCAAGGCACTTGGCTGGATGGGGGGGGGGGGGCAGCAGGTGGAGGGGCAAAAAGCTTCTGACCCTTTCTCTGAAGCACGCAGGTGACACGGTCAGACCGCTGGAGTGTTGAACACAGTCGGTCACAGTCGAGCCCCGGAGTCTCTGACTTTGTGCATTTGGACTTTCCCCATCTCCAACCACATCAGCCAGCTCCACTGTTCCACCGATTTCATACTTTGACATGGCTACATTAAGTACATCTGAATATTGCAGACATCTGTGCATAATGCCATTTTTAAACCAGAAGAAGAACAGGGCTTGACGCCACCAGCCGGCTCCAGCGGTTTGCAATGTCCCCTTCAGTCGCCCCCTACAGGCCCAGCCCATCATGACCCCGATAGAGTGCATCTGAAATCCCGCATTTCCGATACTAAAGGTAATTCGCGGAGGGACAAAACAGAGACGAGTTTGGTGAATAATGTTTGTAAGCATCACAACATCGTCCAAAGCAGGAGCTGACGGTCAGAGGAAAGAGCGTTAATCTCTAATTAAATCCCTCCATGTCTCCTTCCTGCCGCTGTAACAGAACACTGCGGTCACACCGCCCGTGATCAGTTATTGCTACACCTGCTTGCGCACAAGCCAACAGCAGCATTAACAGGACAGACGGGGTAGCGGACGGTTTGACCTCCATCAACACTCCCTGGGAGCTTATGGCATACAGTCTTACGGCATGTACACATTCATAAAGCAGAAATAATAATAACAACATTCTGCATGATTGCCTGCAACAAAAACCACCATACATCCTAAACTCATCCCGGAACGAGGGGAAGCAATGGGGTAACATCAGCCTCCAGATGGAAGGACCACCTGTGACAATGTCTCCTTGAGGCTCGTCACCAAACTCCCCACACACGCATGCACACGCAGAAAGGCAGCACTCACGATATGGCCTCGATCATGTCGACGCCCATCTCCACGCAGCAATGGGCATGATCCGCTCGCGCCTCTGGAAGGCCTGATACGCAGTAGTAACAGTCGCCCAGGATCTTAATACGTAGACAGTGGTTCTCCTGTGATACAGAGGTATGACAGACATGTTCAGGAGGCCTGCACAGTTCATCTTCCATGAATATACAGACTAATTATACTAGCTAGGTGACACGGGTTATTTAAAGAAAAAAAAATGGGGAAAAAAAATAGATACATTCCATGGAAAAACAAGTGACAGTTCACCCTCCTCCCAAAAGAGGGCGCTGTGGTGCCAGCCATTGCTTCCTTACACAAGTTACTGAGCTACATCCAAGTAGAAGTAAAGTAGCCTTTAGAGATAACACTTCTTGTGACTGTGGATCAAAGGCCCTGTACCTCTGCAGGATGCATTAATATTCGGACAGCAGGATTTCTATAGAGAACATTTGCACAGCAGTGTTAAGTATTTCTCAGAAAAGTGACATGCTTTTTTGTACGCACATTAAAATGAGGCCTTAGCAGTAGTGGGGCAGATGAAGAGAAATACGATGCCAGGGGAATATGGTGTGTGATGCTGTGCTGCACAGGGGCACAAACATTACAGCCGGTACATCACGCTAAAGACGGTGATTACAATCAAGGTCACTCTACCCCATTTGCTTTTCTGTCCTCCTTTTTGCACCTCATAAGCCCATAGGATTCATCACAGAATCCCGAACTAGAGTAATATAGCAGTAGTAAACATCTGGATAAGTCATTATTTAAGTCAGCTGTTTCCGGGACGCACAAACGCAACGGCACACTGTGTTCATGCTGTTTACCGGCGCTGAAGGAGGCGGGTCGACAAACCCAATCTCACCACACAGCCTCAGATGTTCTGAGCAACACGGTTCATTTCTGGTTTGAGGGGAACGAAAGAAATCTTCACGGTGTTAATGTTACATTTGTGTTCCCATAGTGACCTCCACCGTCATATGTGTGATGGTACTCTTCAGATAAACTGGGATGGGGGCAAGAGAGGTAGTGGGCCCCGGGGGTGGGGGGGGGGGCAGAGAGCAGTTGGGCTCGTCTCCCACCCCATGACAGCCACCTGAGCGTCAGGCCCGCTTGCAGCTAAGCGGCTACCGCACAATGCGGCCCTTTGTTGCGTGCCTGCGCCTGTGTGTGTCCGTGTGCACTTGTGGAGGGGGGGGGGGGTGGGAGCTTACAGCTGATTGGTCACTCACCGCGGCCAGCTTGTCGAAGCGGGCGAACAGCTCGTTCAGCGTCATGACGAGCTCCTGGGCAGTGCACTGCGAGGCCAGGCTGGTGAAGCCCTCGATGTCAGCGAAGAGGATGCTGGGAAGGCAGACGACAACGTGGCGTGAGGGGGGCACGAGCACGGAGAGCTCCTCCGCCCTGCGGATGCCGCACCTGCGCTTTATGCGATGTGTCCGAAGGCGGCCATTACGGCCGACCAGAAGTTTCTGGAAGGTTTCCTCGTCAAGCGGCTTTAAGCATTTTTGCTCATTTTCGAAGACGCGGACTCTGGGGCAGCTGCCTGCACACCTTCCCGTCACCATACTGCAGTGAATAGGGATGCAGGAAAGCAGCAAGGGGGTGTTTCCCCGCTCTGAGTGTCAGGCTTTTATGCCAAGAATCCGCAAAAATACCCACAGCATCCTACAGCTTTCGTTTTTGTACATCCTTCAAGAGTGGGGTGAACTTCAGACAAAGTGACATCAAATCAAAGTCTAATCCAAACAAGAGATGACAGAGTCTTAGAGAAAGTGTCAAACAACTACAGGAGCTGCTATTAAAGATTAAAATAGAATCAACAAAAAAATCTTGCGCAGTTTTCCATGCATATTATCAATAAAATCCCAGTAGGGGGCGCCATAGCCTCACACCTGCTACATTTATGTGGGTTTCCTCCAGGAAATCTAGTTCCTTCTCACAACCCAGAGATGTACAGATACGACAGCAGGGCCCCTCGCCAGCTTCAGGAAGCACCTTCACGCGTAGCTCCGCCTCTCGTCCCCATTCTACCCAGCGCGTGTTACTGGTCAGCCACCAGACGCTCAGCCCTGGGTCACATGAACTGAAGAAGCTAAACTCAAACTGCAGTTTTTCACAAAGTCCAGAAAGAGCAGCACCGTGGGGGCAGGTGGCAGCCCAGCAACGTGACGCTCTGCCGTCGTGCGTCTCATCAGGGGCGCGGCACAGCGTGGGGCTTCCAGCCGCCCTCTGACATTTGGTCAAATGCCCACACCCACACTCCACCACACGAGTGCCATGCTGATGTCCAAGTGCTCAGGTGGAGACTTTCCACACGTGGAGCAGCAGGGAAGCTCCCCCCCCCAAGCTCGTCACCTCTTCTTGTGGGTTATAGGAAGTGGATCATCTTGGTCAGGGAAGCGGCGGAGCACATGCAGGTCGGTGACGAGTCCGCCTCCAGTCAGCCAAACGTCTGCAGCTGACCACTGCTGCCCTTTTACGAGCCGCATTACTGGGGAGCGTGTCGAACGCGCCTGTCGGGCTCAGGGTGTGTCAGGGACTCGTCTCGCCAGAGAGGAGGCACCAGCTAACACCACAGCACAGGATTTGCACATTCACTCAGCTCAGATGAAAATCTCACATATCAAACACACTTATTTGGAATTACATTCTTTACTGAAATATTTGGTACATTTTTGTTCTTTGATTGTTGGTGCTCCATTATACAATTGCTTAAATATATTAAAGAAAACTCCTTAGAACAAGAGGAGAGCAAGCTGTGGTTCTGGTGGATGTTCAGAGTCTTACAAGCACCAATCTGCTTCAAAACCATTGGTCAGGACTTAGAAATGCGACTATGGACTAGGAACCAATCAAAACCTAGTCAGCCGCCCCCCTCCCCCCCACTGCCCCCTGAGAGTGTGATTCTTAAAGGAGAAATTCTAGTATTTTTCCATTCACACTAATGTCCAAAAGCACCTTACCTACCGATTGTTTAATGTTTTGTCACACTGAGCCAGAGATACCTCAAAAATTTGGGACATAATTGGATTCGTCTGGGTCGGGGGCCCAATGCGATATGCTTTCATGGGGCCCAAAATCTGAGCTGGAGCTGCAGATTTCACTCTCCGCTAAACTGGAGCGACTCCCCAGTTTCAAGGGTGCATCAGCAGAGTGTTGCCAGGGCGTATTCCAGCAGCTGGAAGCTTATACAACCATCAGGAACTGGCTCTGTTATTTTAGAAAGCTTAAGGTCCTTTGGTAGTAAAAGAGCACAGCTCCTGATCAGAGATTATATCTACACAAACTAGGGGGCTTGAAATAGCAGCATTTTCATGCGGCTATTTTTAAGCTCCAAATCCTCCACAGCGGAGCAGCGGTTGCGAAGATCTCCAACAAATTACAGGCACCTTGGGGCCCCCTGAGTGTATTTATCGGCTCACACCTTTAGAAACAGTGAGAGAGGCCAGTGGATAATGAGTGTGAGTCTGACACAGCATTAATTTCTAGTTCCTCTGTGAGTCACCATGCAGCCCGTTCCTCCAGCTTGTCACCAGGTGTCGTCCATGAAATCCTTCCTACCTTCTGACCAGTTTAGGGACAGAATCAGCGAGACAAGTTTCAACATTAAAATGCATCTTTCAGCCATTTAACATTGTGCCTTGAAGTCCGGCCATGGTGACCTTCATTGCTAAACAAAGTCACACTTTATTGCTACGTAAACGTGGATAAACGTGGATATTTTGTTGCGATGCCCCTGAAAACTGCTCAGTCCTGCTGCTGGCGTGATGGAGACGGACGACCAAGCCGGTGAGGCTCACTGCAGCCCCAGTGAGTCCCCTGTCGAGAGCCACAATCTTATGGGGTGATTAGTCTGACTTTCGAAGTGGACGTTTTCACTGGGGGGTCTTGTGCCAGTGAGATTCATACCCAGAACATGCCTGAAGTTCATCAGTGTGATTAATATTTAGATAAATGTCCCCATGAACAGTCTACAGAAGCCAGATCATGTGACTCACAGAACTCCAACTGAGTAAAAAGCAAGAATCACACAGCACCACAGGGCTCAGGTGACCCTGAAAAAACAACCCCCCCCCCGATGTCCCATGTTCCGCTGCTCCAAGGACGTGCACAGGGCCTCATTGTGGACCCCTACGGAACGTTCTAGCATGTGCTGCTAGAACATTTCTCCATAACGATAAGCTAAGCACTTTGCATTCTTATCGTCTTGGCCATCGTCCAGCTCTTCAGGATGGGATTTGCATGTTCAGCTGCCGATCGCCTGCTGCACGCGCTCAGATGGCCTACGAATGCTCCAGCTTTCACTGTAACGTGACCCTCATTCTGGGTCATGCGGGTCCTCTCACTTCCTGTCACATCCTGTCACATCTGCTGTGTGAGGTGTGACAGCCTCTGTCTGCTGGACCTGTCAGGCTTGGTGCGTGTTGGTGAATCTGTGCCTGCAGGTCAGGCCTGCTGATACCCAACGATGTGCTGAAGATCCACAGTGAAGTATTTATACTCCTTTCAATGGCCAGCTTTGTGTGAAATTTTGCAACTTTTTATTGCCAACAAATAGCAGGGCCAAGCTGATGGGAGGAGATTCTCCTGGTGGAGACCTCTGGCAAATAATCCATCTACTTCAAAGCCAGCATGATGACCTTTCTTGAAAGCCTTCAGTTCATTAAGAGTGACTGATTATTTCAATCTTACCCTTAAATTTAAACCACATTCCACTGGGTCCCAGGCTGACCATGACATACACTGAAGAATCTTCAAAGGCATCTCAGGATGTCCAAATAAATCTTAATTTCGGTTTACTTGAATTTTTCTCACAGACTATTAGTACAATTTAAGACCAAGATTTAAATAATCAAGCCTGATGAAGAGATCTCCTCAAACCTTCAAAGGCAAAAAACACTAAGAACATAAGAAATTTACAAACGAGAGGAGGCCATTCGGCCCATCAAGCTCGTTTGGGGAGAACTTAGCTAATAGCTCAGAGTTGTTAAAATCTTATCTAGCTCTGATTTAAAGGAACCCATGGTTTTAGCTTCCACTACAATAGCAGGAAGACTATTCCATACTCTGACTACACGCTGTGTAAAGAAGTGCTTCCTCAAATTTGTTTTAAAATGTTCTCCCGCTAATTTCCACTTATGGCCACGAGTTCTAGTATTTAGACTAATATTGAAATAGTCATTTGGCTGAA